AGTCTCCATAGTTTCAACAGTTCTGAGATGGGCCAAAGTTCCAGTTCAAAGTCTACTCTGAGGCTCATGGCAATCTTGCACGGTGAGCTCTTGTAAAATTTAAAGCAATTTACAAAGATCCAATATATAATGGCACAGAGAAAACATTTCCATTCACAAAATTAGGGGCATAGAAAGAAGGGATAGGGCCAAAGCAAGTCCAAAGTCCAGCTGGGCAAACAAGTCCTGTAGTTTCATGTCAAGTATCTGAGGCACATGTCATTGGATCTTTAGCATTTCTTTAGTGGTGATGATGTCTTTAACAACAGCAACTTCCTTAGGCCCAGTTTTACTCCTACCTTTCAAGTCCAAGTTTTTGAAATCTTTCTGCTCTGCTTTCTGCTCCTGAGTATCACAATGAATATGGCTAAAAGCTGCTACCAATATCCATGCCACATCCTGAATGCTCTGCTGTCTAGAAATTTCTTCCACCAGATTAAGAAGTCTATCACTTTTAAAATCAGCTTCACGGAAAGTCTCAGGAGAGGGGCAAAATGCAGACAACTTCTCAGCCAGAACATAATAAGAATGGTCTTTACTCCAATTACTAATAGTGTCCTCCTTTTCCTCTAAACCCTTTTGAGCCCTGTCTTTACTGTCCACAATCCTATTGGCATTCTAGTCTTCTGCACTCCCACCAGAATTAAGCTCCACTTAACCTAAATAACCTAAAGCATTTCCAGCTTGCACTGATAAACATCTCAAAATTCCTCCGACTAGATCCAAAAAGCTCCAATGGGTTTTGAACCACATGGTCAGGTTTGTAACAGCAACAACCCTACACCTGGTACCAATTTATGTTTTAGCTTTTTCACTGCGATGACTAAAAGATCTGACCAGAACAATCGTAGAGGAAGAACAATTTATTTGAGGTTTCACAGTTCCACTGGTCTATAGATAGAAGCTTCAAACCTCAGGGCTACATGTGAGGCAGAAATAACATGGTAGAAGAGTGTGGCAGAGTGTAGCAGCTCACCTGATGATCAGAAAGCAGAGAGAGAGAGACACTCCACTCTCCAGATACACAATATATACCCATAGCCACACCCTGAAAGAACCCACTTCCTGTAGCTGCACTAACCTGCCTCCAGTTACCACTGTTACCACCTTAACAGTGGTGGAACCTTTAAGAGGAGGAGATTAGTGCAATATAAATAGGTCATTAGAGATGCTGCCCTCAGAAGAAATTAACATAGTTCTCATGGGACTCCAGTTAGCTCCGACAGTAGGTTGTTATGAAAGAGCAAGACTACCCCTCCCTTCCCTCTGGCTTCCTGTCCCACCTCATGGTTTCTTCTTTGAGCACATACTTCCACCATGATGCATCTGCCATGGTGTGATGCAGCGAAAGAGGCCCCTACCAGAGGTCAAACAGATGTGGTCACCTGATCTTAGACTTTCAACCTGCAAAAATGTGAGCTAAATAAACTTCTTTCTTCATACATTACCCGTCATTTGGTATGTTCTATAGTAATGGAAAATGGATCAACACAGACTGGTGATTTCCAGTAAGTATAATGAAACTTGGTATAAAGTGGTCTGAATTTCTTTTTTAATTAAATTTTGTTTTTGGATGTAAGCGACAGAAACTTCAACTCAAACTGGCTTAAGAAAAAAATAAGGAAGGACCTGGGCATTATGGTGAACATCTGTAATCCCAGCTACTCAGGAAGCTGAGGAAGGAGGATCACAAATTTGAGCCCCATCTAGGCAACTTAGTGAGACTCTGCCTTGAAATAAAATAAGGACTGGGAGCACCCCTGATTTCAATCCCCAGTACTGAAAACAAGACAGAAAACCCAAAGGCTCAGCTTGGGCTGGATGTATGTGGCAGTTCCTGAGGTGGAAGGCCACATTAACCCATGTGGTATTTTCCTCTCTGTTAGGAAAATAAGGAATTGAATTGTCTCGTTGACAAAAATGTTGAGGAGTAAATCCAGCTTCAGGTTGTTCAAGGTATTCAAAAACATCATTTCTGTATTTCCAAATTCACACTTTCCTTGACTCAAATCTAGGGAAAGGGTACTTTCTGGCAGTTTCTAAGTAATGGCATTGCCTCCAGTTGGAGTGGCTTGGTTCATGTGAACATTTTAGAACTGATTACTATGGATTGGTTGAGTCAGTTCTCTGATTGGCCATGTCTAGATTTCATGTCCCTGCATCCGAGGTTGGAACTAATGCTCTTAGATCTAAACACAGTGGATTTCTACTATAAGGGCTCATTCAAACACTTTCTAACAGAGAAGAGGTGCCACACTCAAAGGGACAATTGAAGAGAGTTTAATGAAGGAACCACACTCGTGGTATGGGCAATATTAAGGAAACCAACAAGGAATGTAGAGTTTTCCAGGGCTAGGAAAATGAGATATCAGCTCTACCTCTAGGCTAAAGGTAAAAGAGAAGGGAGTTGTCACCAGATCTGGGTGGGTGGTATAGCCAAGGGCACAAGTCACCAGTCAGAGCTGTAATCATATATTAGAGGAACATAATCCTTACCAAAGCAGTCCAGTAGGAAGTTTAGAAACTAAATTCTTCCACCCAACATCTAATCTCTTGCTAGTGCCTCTGGATCAGCTAAATCCAACCAGAAGCCGAAGGCCAAGGAGCCTGGATGACCCAGTCTGCAGAGGTCAGCTTCTTGGAACAGAGAGCAGAATGGAAAAGGGCTCTAGATTGGATCTGAGAATGCAATGGAGAACAATTAGCACATTTTATTCCTCTAAACTAAGGGTTGGAAGACTATGGCCCAAGGACTAAATGTGGCCCACCACCTGTTTCTATGAACAGTTTTATTGGAACACATCTGAATGAGCAAACACTTGTTTACTTATTATCCCTGGCTTCTTTGCACTACAACAGCAAAGTTGCAACAGAAATCATGTGGCACACAAAATATAAAATTTTTATTATCTGGCTCTTTATCAAAAAAGTTTCACTCATCTCTGGCCTAGGCCAACATAAACACCATGTCTGACAAATAGTGTTCAAACAAGTTTTTGCTGATTAAAAAAAAAAAAATGAATGATTGAAAGCATTGGTGACATTCACATTGTGAAAGAACTTGAGCTTCAACCTGTCGGATCCTGGGGATACAACCCTCCCAAGCCAACTCCCTTTATGCTGGAGTTCCCTACGTGGGTTACTCCTTTCTTCTGTGGCTACCTTTACATTCAGTTTCCACTGTACCTCTGGATCTCTACTGCAATCTTCCCCCATGGTTCAGCTGATAATAGTTATTTTCCTTGGCTGCTATGAGTATCATTATTGCCCCTGCCAAGGTCCAGGAATTTAGAAGAGGATGTGCTTCTAAAAAGATTAGGCTGTTTTTAGACTTCCAAATGTGAGCCTGCTCTTTCCATTTTCAAATCCTTTATTGGAGATAACTTAAGACATGAGTCCCAGAGGCTAAGGTGGGCATCACACAGCAGCATCAGGTAGCACATTAAAAACTTTCTTCCTTACCCCCAATAACTAGGGTACCAGTGTGGGATGCAGACAGCCAAATTCCTTCCTCCAAGGAGAAGTTTCTTGCCCACTCAGGTCATTCCACATAGAACCTGGGGACACTCTTGCTTTGTTTATGATGTCCGTCCAGGTGTCTCAGCTTTACATTCCCATTCCTTTGTGCATGAATCATTCATTCAACATAATATCTTCCAGGAAGCCACTAATTTTACCTCTAATAGATGGCTAGTAGTCATCTTTAATATACCATCATTTTTGAGATGGGAAGCAGATTGGCCCCTACTTTGTGCCCTGACTATGACCCTTGCTCTAGATTTTGCTTAAAGCTATATTAAAACAGCCAGGCTCTGTTAGCAGCAGCACAAACACAGTATGACAACCAATTAACTTAAATCCAAAATAATCCAACATACTTAGCGATGTGAGTAGTCATCATTACTGCACTGTATGGTAACCAGGCATGGATGGTACACAAATACTCTAATTGCTGATTTTTATCCAACCCCAACAGGAGTCAGCAAGAAAAATAAGGGCAACAAGAAGAAGCTAAAAAATAAATGCTCTAAGTCACTTCAAAGATTTCTGATAGGGGGGACTGGGAGTGTAGCCCAGTTCTAGTGCCCGTGCTTGGCAGGCACAAGCCCTGGCTGAGTCTGATCCCCAGCACCAAAAAGTAAATAAAAATAGACTTCTGGCCAGGCATGGTGGCGCAGGCCTGTAATCCCAGCAGCTCTGGGTGTGTGTGGGATGGGTGGCGGAGGGGGGGTGGATTGTGAGTTCAAAGCCAGCTTTAGCAATGGCAAGGCCCTAAGCAATTCAGTGAGATACAAAATAGGGCTGGGGATGTGGCTCAGTGGTCAAATGACTTCAATCTCCAGTACCAAAAAAAAAAAAAAAAAAGACTTCTGATATTTAGAGATGGGGAGTTTCTGGAGAGAAGAGAACAATATAAGAAGGGAAGAAGTCAGAAGAGAGGCAGAGTAAGAAGGGAGACTGGGGTCCTGTCACCAACGTCCTCCAGGTTGCCTCTCGCCAAGAGCTGGTGAATTTAGCAGATCTGGAAGGGCAGGAAAGGAGGAACCAGTCTCCCACCAAGAGATTTCTCAGGAGAGGGACAGACAGTGGACTGTGCAGAGGAAGTAGTTTCTGTAAAATCCGGCATGAGCACAGTTCCACTGACTACCCAACTACCTCAAAATCTGGTGATATGGAGAAAAGTCCCTGATTATTAGCAAGTGGCCTCTACTTGCTCATCTTCTCTAGAGGAAGAACCCTATTTCAATTCCTCTGCTGAAAGCAGTCAAATTCATGACCGGATTGTGAAAAGAGAAAGGGGCTTTACGAGTAGATTCCCCAGTTCACCAGTACACGTGAGCACGTATGTGCAAATTCGCACACACACACACACACACACACACACACACACACACACAAATACTTCCACCAGTCCTCTCTTGTAAATCTTCAAGGACACAAATCCACTCATGTCAATCTTCTACCTAAAAGATTCCCAAGGTTTCTCTTTCTTCCTAGACAAACTCAACATGGCTCACAAGGCCTCATGTGATCCGCCTGCTGCTTCCCTCTCAGGCCTCACATCCCAGCCAGTCCTACTTTGTGACAGCCACTCACTTCCTGCTGGGAACCATACTCTCCCTTAGGGCCTTAATGCTTGTTGCTCCCCAGCTGTACTTCATGGTTAACTTTGGCTTGTCCCCGGGGTTTGTTCACCGAGGAGAAGACCTCGTATGGCTGGGCCAGGTGAAGAGTCCCTTTAGGTGTCTCTCACTCTGTATCCACGTCCTTGGTGGTGACGCTTGCTCGCTGCAGCTGGAGGTTGTTGCTTACACGGCTGTCTTTCCAGCAGTCTACATGAGGGCAGGGACCTGGCCTGTATTCACCAGCCTCAGCATCCACAGCATTTGCCACACATCTGACAATATTATCTCCTTGATCCCATGCACAAGGCTCTCTAGAGAGGAAAAGGAAGATCACAAGCCACATTACTCACACCAGCTCCTTTGCTTGGCACAAATGTTGATGGCTAGGTAGCTTGTTTTCTCAAGAGAGCATTTTTATGATAAATACATGGATTCCCAAGGCCTATTTTCTGATGTTTAAAGATAAGTCACACACCAAAGGATGAGGAGCGAAGGTTTCCTTTGATCTACTTGCTGCCTGCCTTGGAAAAATCTTTGATCTTTGCTATTCTTTGACAGATGAATCTGAGTCTGTATTAAGCAGTCACTAAACTGATCATAATTTTCTGTGCCCAGAATAATAAGCCAGCAGATGTCTGGAAAGGGAATTAGAGGAAATGAAAAATGATTTATAGGAATACAGTGGGGCCACGAGTTTCATGCCCCCAGAAAAATCATCTTTAAGAAATTAAAAATAATTACTTCCTACTTCAAAAAACTTAAAATGCTACCTTCTAAAAAGTATACCTAAGAAACAGAGAAGCGGAACTTCTGTCTCATTGCTACTCATAAAATCTGCGTGAATCATTCCTTTTGTTTTTCTATGACTGTCAAACTCTGCAGTCTCATAGGAACCATATTAAGTCTCCTGAATTCACTATCTCATCAATAAGAATGTCTTGCTTCAATTGTAAAAGGCTCAATGCCTTAATCAAGTACTCTATCTATATTTGCCCATCTTTAGTTGCTATAACAAAATACCTTAGGCTGGGTACTTTTAAAGAAAAAAGATCCACTTAGCTCATTTTGTTGTGGAGGCTGAAAGTCTAAGATGGGGCAGCTCTCCTAGCTCAGCCTCTGGTTGGGTACCCCTTGGCTGAGTCATATCATGGCAGATGACATGACAGTGGGAGCTTGTGGGAGAGGAAGAGATCACATGGTAAGACAGGAAGTCATAGAGCAGGGAGGGGTTTGGCTGAGCCTTCTATAACAACTCACTTGGGAGGGAACTGAGCACTCATGAGGACTACCTTAATTTCTGCTGAGGGCTGCCCATCCTCATAGGCCCCACCCTTTAGAATTCGCACCACCTCAACACTGACACACCGAGGACCACACCTCCAACACACGAACCCTTGAGCAACCCACCCAAACCATAGCACCACCTCAACTAGGTCTTCCATCAACCTGTGGTTTTGTTTATTATAATGTGTAGAATTCTAGAACTTTAACACTAGCATGACTCTTGGTATTTAGCCTAATTTTAGTTAACACATAAAACCAGTCTGGATTGTAGCTGAGTCCTCCTATCATTCCAGCTCATGTGTCAGATGTAACATGGAGATATATAGATCACGTGACCTGGAACAAATAAACCCTATGAAGTATGGGTTTGATGTCAAGCCAGGACTGATGAAAGGTTGTAGAGCTTCCAGAACATGGGAAACCTTTCACTCTGGGGTGTGAAAGAGAATAAGGTCAGGGAAGTAAATTATAGTTCCACTGAAAGAACTCATAAAATAATGAAATGGACCAAATGTGGATCCATAACTGCGGATGATTTTATAGTCGCTGGAAGATACTATAACACTGATGTCAGGAATGTATTTAATGATTGTTGACATTTCTAATGTTCTTTTGAATCTTTGGGACAGTTTTCAGTTGTGCCGCTCCACATTCTGTTATTTGAAAATGTGTTGCAAACACCAAGAATGAGAACTACCACCTTTGAAAGATCCTTAAGCTCTTACTACCCTATTTAAGCCTTAAGAAACTAAAGTTCTAGGAGAAGAGGGGATTTGGGGTTCAGAAGCACACCTTGCTTATAGTACATGAAGTTCAGGCCTCATGATATCTAGTCAAGTGTTTTTTCTACTACACCTGATTTTCTCTTTAAATTTATAAACCTACGTGACTTTTACAGTAAAAAAAAAAAATGAGTGGGAAAAACATTTAAAACCACCTGAAAAAAACAGAGAGGGATATGATCAGGTCCCTGTCTACATGGAGAGTATGTCTCTGTTTGGCTCTTAACCTGTCTGGAGCCCTCTGGAGCCTCTCCTTTGACAGCAGTAAATTAGTAAAGATTAAAACTGCCTAAATGTTTGTGTTGAGAGTTGGACATTTTGTATTGATGAGAATGACTTCAGTTAGACTTGGGAGCAATGCATGACAGATCTTCATTAACAAGCGCGAGTAGGGAAGAGCATGATATTTGGGAGATTGGGATTCAGTGGGACAGGAATAGGAAGGCTGAAGAAATTTACCCAGCTACAGTGCTGGCCCCTGAGGTGAATGGCAGGAAGCACATTTCACAGTGATCATTTCAACTTCAAGGTGTTCTTCCTGCAGGTGTGTGTACCTAAGGGGTCCAATTCAGCAGATCAACCGAGGCAGTGGGAATCCAGATGAAGAGAGGTGTTAAAGGAGGTGGGAATTTGTGGTGTGATCCCCAGGAGACCCACAGCCTATGGTTGAGGAAGGGGAATAGTGTCCAGCCCTGCACGCAGAAGCCTGGGTTCACCTGAGCAGTCTTGGGTTTTGAAAAGAGATTCAGTTTCAACGAGATTATTGGGAGGTGAATTGCGATTTTAAGACAGGTCAACAGGCAATGGCAGGGAGTGGGCAGTGTGACCCTGTGCCTCAGTGGGCATCTGGGGCACCGAGGATACAATGGAGGTCTTGGTGGGATGTAAATGTCTGTTATATACAATACCTGGTGAAAATTTTTAATTAAAACTTTAACAACGTCTATTTTGCAGTAAAGAATGAATGAATGTTCACATGTCCAAAGCATAAAAATATTTTTTCCTAATTTCCCAGTCAAGATGTCTTTCATGTGCTAGCTCTGTATCCCTTAGTCGTATAGTTCCTCTTTCCCCTTCTCCCAACCCTATCATCCTCCTCAGCTAGTAAATAGGTTGTGGCTTGTTGCCTCCAGTATTTTATGTTTTCCCTTCTTCCTGAAATACCCTTCCCTCTGTTCTGTGGTTCTGATGGTCGGATGGACCATCTTCTAATGTTTCAACCCCCAACCCAAGCAGAGTGCACCTTTCCTACCTTTATCCTACTATTCCACATCTCAAGTCGTGTTTATGACTATGGTTCATCTTCAACCATCGTGCACTGGGTTGGTTGCACTGGTTGTAAAATTATTAAAACATTTCTGCACAGGTTGATAAACAGCTGCTGTCCCAAAACCTCCACGTGCCTTCTTCCTTCTGCATCCACTCTGCCTGGTTCCACTAACTGAAGGATTAATGCTAGAGCAGCAGGACCTTCCACATCACTCTGGCCAAGATCTTCTGTTACTCTCTCCTAGTTTTAGGAATTCCCAAATCCGGACTGGAATACCCAGGTCTCTGATTTGTACTTGCCAATGAATTTCGGGTGGAATCACTCAGTACCTCTGAGTCCTAGTTTCCTTATCTGTAAGATGGACAAGGACGCCTACCTTGCAGGGCTTCTAGTAAGATCACTGAGTATATAAGTTTTAGGTTTTAATAATGGGGTTGTAATGATTTTGAAGAAGACCTTGAGCTAAGCCAGGATGCTCAGAAAATTCCAGATGAAGGAAGCAGTAATCGGAGCCACTTGGGCTAACAAGCATTGCTGTTGGCCAACCCTATCACACCTAACAGTCAAAGGCGAGGAGAGCAGTGCAGGGCTGATTCCCAAAGCCAAGCCGGTGGCCTGATCCGTGTCAGACTTCCTATCTGACTTATCTAAATCTTCCAGGGTGTGTGAGAGAGCCCAGTTTCCACTGCTTTTGTTTTCTCCACAAGGCTCTTGATTGGGCAAGTGAACTTGAAGGTTGCAAAGTCTTCTGAGAATCCAGATTTCTTGGAAGTTCTTAAGAGCCCAGGCACTACTCCCTGGAAAATGTGAGGTTCTTGAGGGTTGTTAGACGCGTCAACTTTCTGTCAAAGTTAAACAACTAGAAAAATGTCCCTGGGAAGCGTCGTCAACACCTTCTTAATTGGCTGCCTTGGCACTGTATCAAGGCTGTGGTTCCTACTTTAGATCTTGGAGCGATACCAAGCCTTCCTCCCCTGGTCAGAGTCCCCTTCTGGGGTGGGAGATAAGTAAGAACCTCCATCCTGTGTTTCCCAGTAGAGGAAAATAAAAGATGCCTAGCTTCAGGAATTGCACAAACCATATTTATACGGCCATAAGAAAGTGCTTTCCTTGTTATTGCTCTTGAGAGCTTTCTCTCCTCTTTCCTCTTTACCTCCATCACCACACAGAAGGTAAGAGATGAGTTAAGAAAACTTGGTTCTTCATGGATGGACACTTGTGTTCCAGGGCCGAAGAGGTCAAGATCTAGAAGTGGGAAGTGACTGTTTGCATCCAGATGGGCAAGAGCTTGGACGACAGGAGGTAGAAGGAACTATCCCCATCTTGGAAAAGTCCTTTTTTAGTTCTTCAGCCTATGATTAGAGCAGGTCTTGCTCCACTTTTCACACGCTCCAGGTGTGTGCACATTGTCACCTTCACTGTGTGCTCCCAGTCCCTCAAGGTAAAGCTGGGCCTGCAGTCCTGTAAGCACAAATGGAGGGACTCTGTTCTACAGCTGTAGCTGGCATTCTTTCCTTTTCCTGATTTCCCTTTCTTCCTGTGGCCTTTTCATTCTTCAGATGAGGCTTCTGTGGAGCAGTGAACTTGAACCGCAAAAGAGAGAAAACGGCAACCTCATCTTTTTCTTTCAAAAGTAGAGGAGCCCTGCTGGGGGTAGTGGTGCATGTCTATAATCCCAATGACTCAGGAGGCTGAGGCAGGAGGATCTACAAGTTCAAAGCCAGCCTCGGGAACTCAGCAAGTCCCTAAACAGCTTAGTGAGACTCTGTTGCTAGAAAGGGCTGGGGATGTGACTAAGTGGTTAAATGCCCCTGGGTTCAATTAAATGCTGCTGGGTTCAATCCCACTACCCCCCCCCAAAAAAAAAAACATGGAGCCCTTAAGGGAGACAATAACAACAGTGACAACAAACATTCACAGCATGAATAAGAGACTTGAAAGACTGTGAGAAAGAAGAAAACCTCTTCTAGATATTCTTCAGTTGCTGGTTGAAGGGGTAGAATAAGCGAGGAAATCAGGTGGATATGGATATTTTTAGAACCTCGGGAAAGGAGAGGTTACATTTTTCTACCCAGCCTGAGCCTAAGAGTAAGGCCGGTAAGAAGAAGAGATGTGTATGTGCAGGAAACACCTCAGGTAACCAGGGAGCAGGTCCCAGGCCCCATTGTAGCCTGGAGCAGCAGATGGACCTGTGTGTCTGGGAGTGGTGGGCAGTCGCAGGGCCCTGGACAGCACTGAGTTTCTTGTAGCTGAACTGGAGTCAGGAGTGGACACAGGCATGACCGAAAGAGAAGGATCCCTGGAAGGATCAGCAGTGAGAACATGGAAGTGTGAGAAACCCGCTCACCTGTACAGATTGGGTACAACCAGCATTTTATCCATCAAGAGCACAAGGTCCCTCCTAGGTTCTTCATTGGCTGAGTACTATGGGCTGTCCAGTCTTCCTGAACTGTCTCCTAGTGGGTTGTTGAAGGAAATATACCTTCAGTTGTCCTCACCTCCCTTTATTCTCTTGTGGCAGGAAAGCCTTCTTGGGGTGAGTGCACTCTGACACATACACAGCTCTTACCTCTTTACCTAAGTTACTATTTCTTAACAGGGAGATTTCTGTCTCTGTTGGTAAGGCCGACCCCTTCCCCCACCTCATTGTCAAGGGGCTGTTCAGGTGTGTGGACTTTGGATCGGTGGCATCCACAGGCTGTGGTGCTATTGTGTAACTTTCCATTCTGCTCTGCCTCCCCTCTGGCTGCCTTTCTCACATCTCTATATTATATTTAAGGCTAAATATTGTATTCTGTTTCTCACAGGAGGGCTCGGAGCTCCAGTCCAGCAGAGGACCAAAGCGATGAAGAGAGGACCAGATGGGAGGTGAGTGTCCAGGCAG